TGAAGTTTTGGTAGAATTGCTTGTCAGGTTCGAGTAGCTCCCATACAAGTCTAAAAGCTTATTCTTAATATTTAGAAAAATAATAAAGTCAGATTCATGAAAGTTGGCAGTTGTGTGTCCGATTATAGATCAGATATATTTGTGAAGTTTTGATGGAATTGCTTGACAGGTTCAGGTATATGCCATACAACTCCAAAAGCTAATTTTAAATATTTGGAAAAATTATAGGTCAGACATGTCCGTGAAGTTTCTATAGAATGATTTCATAGGTTCGAGTAATTGCTATACAATAACGGAAGGTGCAGGGTATAATTCAATCGGTTTATACCGACTGAAACGTTTTTACTTGTTTTAAATTTCTATAAACGCAAAAAGCTAACGGTAAACTCTGTGACATTAAGAAATATAATTATTTTTCTTAACTCACGCAATTAACCGAGAAATCGAGAATTATGTTAAGCCCTCCTTAAATTAATTTGTGCTTTATTTCAAAGACTGCATAAATCGTTCATCCTAAATATATCCAATACTAGAAACAGTTTTGTATATGAATGAAAATATTTTTAATAGTGTGGTAGATATACATAGGCTGTATTTAAAAGCAGTATTTTCACTAATTGTTGAAGGAAAAAGTGCTACAATACAAACCATTGATTTGACCCAACTTTATATTGAAATTGTGTTTCATTCTGCGTGTGAGATATTATTTTAAGTTTACTCTTTTTTCTTCAAAAAAACACCCGTCCTGTACATATAGATATGTTGTTTTTTTCTAATATCTTATAAAATAAAACTTAAAATAAGAAAAGCTCTTAAAAATAATTACGACAAAGTAAATAATTAAACAAATAATTAGTTCTTTTGAGATCTAATATCTTTTGAGTAATTTATTTTACAACCTCGCTTTGAGTTATGTCGCATAAAAGTGTAAAATACTTCTGCCAATAAGCTCTTTAAGCGATCGTTTACCTTTTACGCATTAAGTAATCAGCTACAAATATCCATGCACATATGTATTTGAATTTTATAATAATAAAATCCGTGAATATATCGCGTGAATGTATAATCAGTTAACTCTAAACTAACGTACAGAGGTAGACGGTTTTATATATTATGCAAAGTATGCATTTGCAGTGAGCGACAAAAAGCTGCCATACAACTTAAATAGTAGTTTGTGCCAAACTACTATTTAAGTTGTATGGCAGCAACCAGAAAGAGCTAAGAAATTTTAACAAATTTTATCAAACACATTGGTCCTACTAATATATTCGCTTGTATCAAATTTCAATATCATAGCTTTTATAGTTTCTGAGATACAGCCAAATAACTTTTGATAGCCAAGTGATTTTAACGACTTTTATCATACACATTGGCCCTACTAATATATTCGTTTGTGTGAAATTTCAATACCACAACTTTTATAGTTTCTGAGATATAGCCAAATAACTTTTGAAGTTGTATGGCAGCTACCCGAACCGGTACCCCGATCATGTCCAATTTAAATAGGGTTCTGGCACTTACTACAATAATTCATTTGTGAAAATTTGGTGAACTTAGCTCAGTTAGTTTTTGAGTTATCGTTGGGACGGACGGGTGGACGGTCGGACGGACGGACGGATGGGCGGGCGGACAGACGGACGGACGGACGGACGGACAGACAAAGCTAAATCAACTCAGAATTTGACGCTGATCAAAAACATACACTTGAGTCTATATCTAAGACCGTTATATCTTAGCGTTACAAACGGTAAGGCACATTTAGTGTACCCTTCGAACATACGTTCGTACGGGTATAAAAATGTTTAGATAAAAACAAAATAATAATTGTATTCAAATACATGTATGTACATATGAATGCAATTTTTCAAAAAAGGTAGAGGTTTAGGCAAGAACAAAATAATAATTTTATTCAAATATATGAATGTACTTGAATGTATTAGAAACATTTTAAAATTTTTGTCTAAAAAATTAGAAATAAAATTTTAAGCATCAACATACATAATTATGAATGTATGTATACCTATTTTGTTAAAACTGCGGGTGAACATATAAAAATAAATTTTTTAAATAAAGAAAAGGTTTAGGCAAAAATAAAATAATAATTGTATTCAAATATATGTATGTATATATGAATGTATTAAAATTTAGAATTTTACAGTTTTTCGCTTGAACAATAAAAATAAAATTTTAAGTACATACGTACATAAATTCTTTATGTATATTTTTTTAAAGCTTGCTGACGAAACATAATATTCAAAACAATAACAAATGAAGCATTAATATTCAGATGCCACAAAACATCTGATGTCTTTGATAAAAGCTGACATTTATTTACGTTAAAATTATTTCGATTTTTCGAATCAAAAATATATGAGATCATTATATATTCAAATATTATTTATTTCTCGGTTTGTGTTTTAATAATATGTAAAACGTATCATTTATTTCTGGGTTTGTGTTTCTGATTATATAAAGTATAAAACAGAAACGTGCTTTTGTTATACAAAAATTTGTTCTGAAAATCTTAAAATTGAAGTACCCGTACTTTTTGACACCTGAGAAGTAGCTATATATGTTTTGACTCTGGCTTAATTTAGCCAGGGTGACGAAACATAATATTCTAAAATACTAAATATACGTATTAAATTTACGTAGAAGTAAATTTTACTTCTACGTAAATTTTACTTCTAAGAATTTACTTCTACGTAAATTTAATACGTATATTTAGTTTATATTAAAAATCAACTACAAAATTCCAAGCTTCAACATAGTAGCTATATTACTTATTTATCACATGCATTTACATTGTATACACATATTTTTTTTTTTTTTGAACACAATGAAATTTGTTAATATTTAACATATTGAAATATATACGCACCTACTTATAATATTTAAGGTGTTACATAAATACATACCACATAAATATACAGATATCAACTTATTACATTTGAAATATTACGACATACCACATAATTATACCTACCTAGTTATTAAAAGTTTTAATTTTTTTGTGTTGCGGAAATAAATGCTTGCAAGGGCCTGTATATATCACGACATAGGGTTGCATGATATATTCCCAAATTATATTCGTTGTAGCAGCAATAACATTTCGTCGATTAGATTTATTTCACGCAATATTTTCGTTTATAGAAGTTGTGAGATATATCAAGCAGTAATTATTTATCAAGTATGAAAATATCGAGATAATGAATATATCAAGCCATGGTTATGAGATATATCAAGCAATAAATATTTTTTGATGTTGTAAAAGCAATAACATTTCGTCGATTGGATTTATCTCACGCAAGATTTTCGTTTATAGCAGTTAAGAGATATATCAAGCAATAATTATTTTTTTTGATACATGACATAAGCAATTTTATTTTGGTTTTTATACCCTGCACTTCGTGAAGGGTATATTAACTTTGGTATGGAGTTTGTAACTACTTGAAGGAGTCATCTGCGGTATGGACATATATATATATTCTTGCTCAGCGTAAAATTCTGCGTCGATTTAGACATGTCCGTCTGTCCGTCCGTCCGTCCGTCCGTCCGTCCGTCCGTCCGTCCGTCCGTCCGTCCGTCCGTCCGTCCGTCCGATCGCACGATAACTCAAAAACGAATAATGCAATCGACACCAAACTTTCACAAGTTTTTTCTTTTGTGCCAAGGACGAGCCCTATTGTTATTGGACTAGTTCGGACAACGGGTTCGGGTAGCTGCCATACAACTCAAAGAGTTTATTTTAAATATTTCAAAAACTAATAAAGCTATAAATATAAAATTTTGTATACATGTGTCCAATTATATTCTACACATGCTCTAAAAATTATAATGGGATAGCTGCACCGGTTCGGGTGGCTGCCATACAACTCCAACAGCAAATTTTTTATATTCGGAAAAATAATAAAGTCAGATTCATAAAACTTGGCAGTCATGTGTCCAATTATTGGTCAAATATATTTCTGAAGTTTTAGAGGAATTGATTGACAGGTTCGGGTACCTGCTATACAACTCCAGAAGTTAATTTTAAATATTTTCAAAAATAATAAAGTCAGATTCATGAGCTTTAGCAGTCGTGTGTCCAATTATAGGTCAGACATATTTCTGAAGTTTTGATGGAATTGCTTGACAAGTTCGGGTACCTGCCATACAACTCCGAAAGCTTATTTTAAATATTTGGAAATATAGTAAAATCAAATTCATGAAATTTTGGCGGTTGTGTGTCGAGTTATAGGTCAGATATATTTCTGAAGTTTTGGTTGAATTGCTCTTCAGCTACGAGTTGCTCCCATACAAGTCCAAAAGTTTAAATATTTGGAAAAATAAAGTCAGATTCATCAAACTTGGCAGTTGTGTGTCCAGTTATAAATCAGACATATCCGTGAAATTTCTATAGAATGGTTTCATAGGTTTGAGTAATTGCTATACAACAACGAAAGGTGCAGGGTATAATTCAATCGGTTTATACCGACTGAAACGTTTTTACTTGTTTCTCTTTACATTATCGTCACACAAAATACGTACCTACCATATAAAGAAGGTAAATAGAAATTGTTACGGTGTATATCCGAAAAGCGAAAAACTGAAATTTTTTTTAGCTTTTCTGTGAAATAAAAAAATTTTTTTTGGGAATTACTTTTTGAATTTTTTAATGAAGGTTTTGAGCAAAATTGAAATTGCATATTTAGTTGATATATTTGAGACGTAATATTGTGCATTGGGTACCACTAAACATTGTAAAGAGAAATACAATTTTTATTTTTTTTTAAACTTTCTTTTGTTATTGGATATTTAAATTTAAACGAAATGGCAGAAGCTGACATTGAGAAACTTAAGACTCAAGGGGCAGTGCCAAATCCTCACTAACTCGCATTAAAAATATAGTGGAAAACAAAAAGGAATCGCTCAGCTTACCTGAGTTAGAATGTAGGCTTGGGATTCTAGAATCTTATTTTAAACAACTACTTTCGTGTCAGACTAGCTACGAAACGTTAATGCCAAATGATAATACCAACATAACCTATCGTTCGGAATGTGAGGAGGTGTACATATCTGCCAAATCTTTACTCACTTCATTAATTTCTAATAAAAAACAAGACTTGGGTTCTCAATCTACTGAACTTAATCAATCTTTTATACTAAAATCAACTCAAGCAACCAATCTTTACAAAATTAAACTGCCTAGATTCGATGGAAAGTATTCTGAATACCCTAACTTCATCGGTATTTTTAATTAGAGCATACACAACAACACAAACTATGAAATTATCGAGAAGTGTAACATTTTAGTGAGCTCATTGGATGGGATTGCCAAAAATGCTGTTCGTGAATTTCGAATTTCGGATGAAAATTATCCAAAAATTCTCAAACATTTAAATTATAGATTTAACAACAAAACGTTAATGTTTCAAGAACTAATTGGAGAATTATTTCAGTTGCCTAAAATAACGAGGGCCACTGCAACAAATCTTAGAAATATGGTTGACAGTGTTAACGCTATTTTAAGCTCCATGCTATCTATTGGTTCTGTTGAGAACATTGCGAATTCAATGATTATTTATGTCGTAATGAGTAAATTAGATGCTGAGTCACAAAATAAATGGGAAGAAACCGTTGATTTTTCAAATTTATTGAGTTGGCAGGATTGCTCTAAGGTTCTAAGTAAAAGATGCCAGTTCCTTGAGTGCAAAGAGGTCAAACAATCTTCTTCGCTGTCCGCTAAATTTCGAAACAAATCGTTTTCTCACAACTCAACAGCACTTTCGGTATCACAATCGGGAGCTCGAAATTCGTCGTCGTGTCTTATTTGCAATGATAATAGTCACACCATTTATAAATGCAAAACATTTTCTGAATTACCCGTAATAACTCGCTTTCAAAACATATATAATGAAAAGGTTCATATAATATGTAAATTAGGATGGTTTTTGAAGAGTTGTATGAAGTATGAATAAGATATAGAATATTATAAAAGGAATTTCAAGGTACTGCGTAGCTTGGTGGATAGCGTGGTACACTGATAACCAAAAAGTTATTGGATCGATGCTTGCATGGATATTGTCGTACCTTTCTTTTTTTAGGTTATTTTAAAATTTTTTTTTTTATTTTGTTTAAATTTTGTGTTTTATTTTTTTACCGACCGTATTGTGTAAACAATAGGTAGGTTATGTGATGGCAACAAATTTTGCATATCGAGTTTTCGGTGGGAACGTACTTCTCCATAGTAGGGAAGTGTAAATAAACTATTTTTAGCAACCTGTCGGTCTGTCGGTCTGTCGGTCTGTCGGTCTGTCGGTCTGTGTGTGCACGCGTGTATCTCAAGTTCGGCTGAACCGATTTTGATGAAATTTTATATGTAAGTTTATTTCCACCATGGCACGGATCGATCAACTTTTGGTATATATCAGGCCTCGGGAACTGCACTTTTTAGCGGGCCTGTTTTGCTTTTTTGAGCATATTAAAGAACATATTCAACCGATTTACTTGAAATTTCATATATAAGTTTTGCTCTACCGGCGATGAAACCTCCTAACTTTTGGAAGAAATCAGGCGTCAGCAACTGGACGTTTACTACGGGCCAAATATACATTTTTGTGTATATAAAGAGAAATAATCAACCGATTTCATTGAAATTTAATATTTGAGTTCCTCGTATTAAAACAATGAACATATAAATTTTTTGGAAAGATCAGGGCTCGAAAACTGATTTGCGGGCCGGGCCGATTTTACATTTTTCACCATTTTGAAGAAAATATTCAACCGATTTACTTGAAATTTCATATATGAGCTTTGTTTGACCGTCCGTGAAAATTCCTAGCTTTTGGAACAAATCAGGTATCGGCAACTGGACGTTTACTACGGGCCAAATATACATTTTTGTGTATATAAAGAGAAATAATCAACCGATTTCATTGAAATTTAATATTTGAGTTCCTCGTATTAAAACAATGAACATGTAAATTTTTTGGAAAGATCAGGCATCGGCAACTAGACGTTTACTACGGGCCAAACATACACTTTTGTGTATATAAAGAGAAATAATCAACCGATTTCATTGAAATTTAATATTTGAATTGCTTGTATTAAAACAATGAACATGTAAATTTTTTGGAAAGATCAGGGCTCGAAAACTGATCTGCGGGCCGATTTTACATTTTTCACCATATCTACGGAGTTTCTTGAAATTTGATATTTGAGTTCTGGTTGTTACCGAAACTAACTGGCAACCTAAAAATTGGAAAGAAAATGTCTGTTAAATAACATTTTTACAATATTCTGTAACACTTTCACTTAACTAGACAATACACATTGCGGTCGGTTATGTGCTGACCACATCAGATTTTTTTAATATATAACAGATAAATATTATTATAAAAATTTAAAGAAAATTTCCAAAAAAATATTGTTATAATAGTTTGGAAAAATTCGCCAAAATTTTAACTACATAAATATGTATTTATATTTTTTTTAAAGCTTCCTAACTAATTTTTTTTAAGTTTTCTATATGAATTGAATAATACTTAAAATTGTGGTTTGGCATATAGAAATAAATTTTCAACAGATAGTTATTAAGTCATGGGGGTGAACATATAGAAATAAATTTTTAAAATAAAGAAAAAGTTTGGGCATAAATAAAATAACATTTTTATTCAAATATATGTATGCACATATGTATTAGAATTGAACATTTAAAATGTTTCGATCGAATAATTAGAAATAAAATTTAAGTACAAAAATCTGATGTGGTCAGCACATAACCGACCGCATTGTGTATTGTCTAGTTAAATGAAAGTGTAACAGAATATTATAAAAATGTCTGTTAAATACTTCTTTCCAATTTTTAGGACATTAGTAAGCTTATAGTTAACATACTTAGAAAAATGTAAATTTGGTTCTTAGTAGAGTTTCGCTTTGTGCTACCCGAATTCCCTGAAATGCTCGCCAGTTAGTTTCGGTAACAACCAGAACTCAAATATCAAATTTCAAGAAATTCCATCAATTTGTTCTGTGGATATGGTGAAAAATGCAAAATCGGTCCGCAAATCAGTTCTCGAGCCCTGATCTTTCCAAAAAAGTTATATGTTCATTGCTTTAATATGAGGAATTCATATATTAAATTTCAATGAAATCGGTCGATTATTTCTCTTTATATACACAAAAGTGTATGTTTGGCCCGTAGTAAGCGTCTAGTTGCCGATGCCTGATCTTTCCAAAAAATTTACATGTTCATTGTTTTAATACGGGGAATTCATATATTAAATTTCAATGAAATCGGTTGATTATTTCTCTTTATATACACAAAAATGTATATTTGGCCCGTAGTAAACGCCCAGTTGCTGATGCCTGATTTCTTCCAAAAGTTATGAATTTTTGCGTATGATCGAGCAAAGCTTATATATGAAATTTCAAGTAAATCGGTTGAATACTTTCTTCAAAATGGCGAAAAATGTAAAATCGGCCCGCAAATCCGTTCTCGAGCCCTGATCTTTCCAAAAAATTTACATGTTCATTGCTTTAATACGGGGAATTCATATATTAAATTTCAATGTAATCGGTTGATTATTTCTCTTTATATACACAAAAATGTATATTTGGCCCGTAGTAAACGTCTAGTTGCCGATGCCTGATTTCTTCCAAAACATACGAATTTTTGCGGACGGTCGAGCTGAGCTTATATATAAAATTTCAAGTAAATCGGTTGAATATTTTCTTCAAAATGTTCAAAAATGTAAAACTGGCCCGCTAAAAAGTGCAGTTCCCGAGGCCTGATATATACCAAAAGTTGATCGATCCGTGCCATGGTGGAAACAAACTTACATATAAAATTTTATCAAAATCGGTTCAGCAGATCTTGAGATACACGCATGCACACACAGACCGACAGACCGACAGACCGACAGACCGACAGACCGACAGACCGACAGACCGACGGACCGACAGGTTGCTAAAAATAGTTTATTTACACTTCCCTACTATGGAGAAGTACGTTCCCACCGAAAACTCGATATGCAAAATTTGTTGCCATCACATAACCTACCTATTGTTTACACAATACGGTCGGTAAAAATATATAATTATGAGTGTATGTAGCATTTCAAATTTTTATTTAAAACATTTTATTTAAATCATTAAATTTTATAATTAGAACAATATTTTATTTTACATTTAATTTACGTATTTTAATTTTACTGTTTTATTTTAAATATTTTAACTTTATTTAATTTTATTGAAACATGTGTTTTTACATGATTTATTTTAAACATGTGCTTTTTTTATTGTAAATAAACTTATAATTTTGTGTCTTCTTTGATGGTCGCTTACGAGAAAATTTATTATTTTCTTTACTCATTACTTTTACGAAGATAAAAACTACTCAAAATTCTTTTCGAAAATCGTGAGTGCAGATTTGCGCAAGTGAGAACAATTTCGAAAAGAACATACCATCATATTAATTAAAAGACATTCGCAATAGTTAATTATGAAGAAATATTCACAATAGTTAATAATTCACAAAAGTTAATTGAGAAATCTAAGCATAATGCGGCAGAATAATAAACCTATCCTACATTTAGCCGTCCTGATCTTTCATTCGACTCGAATGAAACGGCCGAACCCCACTTTTTCATATATTCGGCCACCGTCGTTGTGTTTCCGGGACCCTCGTGGTCCCCTACCTTCTCAATCTGATATCTACCATAATCTAATATCTTCACGACTCTGTAAGGACCCAAAAATTTTGGTCTCAACTTTAAAGCAGTTCCATACTGCGTTCTTTTAATAGCCACCAATTCATTCAACCTATGGGTATTTTCAGATTTTCTCCTAGAGTTGTAGGTTTTACAATTTTCTTTCTGGATTTTAGATTTATTTTGCTTCACTTGAGTCCTTATACTCTCTTGCTCTTCGAGATGGTCGGTAATATCTTGGTCGTCTAGTCGTCTTAAAATTTGAAGATCCTCTTTCAACCTCATCTGTAATCCTGTTAAAATTTGAAAAGGTTGAAATTTGGTGCTTCTCGGCGTCGTGCTATTGATTATTTGTTGAACTCTATCAACGTATTTATACCAATTGCAAGGTTTTTCACTGCATAGTTTTGATAACGTAGATACTATTATTTTGTGAATGCGCTCAACTTGTCTGTTCCCTCGAGGTACTCCTGTTGGAATAACTAGATGTTGGATGTCTTGATAATCGCAGTATTGTTTGAAAGCTTTAGAAGTAAAGGCTGGTCCTGTATCAGAGATCATTCTCTTTGGGTTTCCAAAAATTGATGCTTGTTTTTGTAATCAAGAAACAACTGCATCTGGCCCAGTGTCTTTGGTAGGGTAAAACCAAACAAATTTTCACAAAGCATCTACTACCACCAGTATATAGTTGTGTGCTTTATTTGTTTTTCCAAAGGACCGACATGGTCTATGTGATACGTTCTTAAAGGCAAAGTTTCTTTATGGATTGAACATAGAAATTCTTCCTTTTAACCGGCTTTTCTTTGTGCCACTATGCATTCTACACAACTTTTTACTATACTTGGAACCTTTATATTTAATTTTGTTATATAAAAATATTTATTTAGGTAATCTTGTGTTTTTTTTATTGAAAAATGACCACGTCGGTGTGCTGATCTAATAATTTCATCTTCCATTTGGGATGGAACCACAATCAATTCGTTAATAGGATCTTTAAACAAGATCCCGTTTTTGACATAGAAATCTTCATATTTAGTAGTTTCTAAAATCTTTAAAATTACATTAATCCATTGATTCTCTGCTTGAGCGTCCTTCAAACGATGACGCAAAGAATCTTCGAGTAGCAGACAAACAGCTTTACTTAAAGCATCCACATGCCTCATTTTTGTGGCGGGTCTGTGCTCTATTTCGTAATTAAATTTTTGTAAGAACATTGCACATCGGGACACTCTTAATGGTGCATCTGTTTTCTTCATTGTCATCGCAAA